AGGGAGTTTTGATGAGATGATTCAGGCTGGGTCAGCACCCACCCCCTCCCCACCTCCACCACACTGGGCCAACACCTTCCCTGCCCCTAACAGCTCACCAAAACTTCCAAAGTGGCTCTGCTGTGCACTGGGCCAGGTGGCTGGGATGGAGCTGTGTACAGGTAGGGATCAGCATCCAGAAGTGGGACAGGTAGGCAGGGCAGAGGCTGAGATCACAGGGCAGTGACAGCACAGGACTAGGTTCTGGGGCATCACCACAATCTGCTCCCCATGTGCCACTGCAATGAGAGCAGTTCTGCTAGCAGGGGTGTGTGGGGAGCAGATCATGGAGCTGCCTGGGGTTCCAGCCCTGTGCTGCCACTGCCCAGCAATCCCAGGGTCTCCATGGAGACTGGCTAAGACACACACAGGCAGGACGCATGGCAATATGGACAGGGTGAGGCTGCAGACAGGCAGGCAGGTGGGGGTAAGCAGTGCCGGGAAGCAGGACAGGCGGGTGGGGCCAGGATCTTGGGGTGGTGACAGCGTGGGGTCAGGGGTCTGGGACAGAGCTGCAATCTGCTCCCAAACACCCCTGCCTGTGGAACCAGCACACATCACAGGGATGTGCAAGGAATGGATCGCAGCTCTTCCACAGGTCCTGGCCCTGTGTTGTCACTGCCCCAAGATCGCAGCCCCAGCCTTGGCTGTGCCCACCCGTCTGACTCCTGGATGTTTCTCCCCACCTGCAGGCTTGCCCATCCACCTGGCCTCATGCCAGTAGATACTAATCAACAGCCTTCACTCTGAAAGCAGCTAATAACTCCAGTTGGTCATTTCACTGTGGGGAGTAGGACTCTGGGCTTTTTCTTTTTAAAATGCCTTCTCAAAAGCTGTGTATTCTGAACATGAAAACTGTTTTTGAAAAGCTGGAATTATTTGCTACAAGAAAGAACAAAGAAAAAGCCTTGCCCTCACCTTTAGTACTAAAGCATTAAACTACTGCAGTGTTCCTATTTAATTAAAAACAGGACCATTTGGGTTAATTCAGGACCATAATTATTTTTGTGGGGGAGGAGGATGCTTTAGAAAAACACACCATCAATTGCTTCAAGACAGAAAAGTGTTTTTGTTCCTCTGATTTTTAAGATGTCTAGATACTTTTAAGGTCCCATATATGGATGTCCTCTTGGAAAGTTCCTTGTAGCTTATTTGGCACTTCTGACAGTAAACTGATGTGGTCCTAAATGCATTTCCTTATGTAGTTGAATATTCAATCAAGGTTTCTACATTAAAAGATCAAGATGCATTATCAGTACAGGGCTACAAGGCCACTTAACAGATCACAGCTAAGGTGCTAATTCAACTTGACAACTCTATTTTACCCAAAGATGTATTAAGAAACTATTTTTGGTTAAGCTAATTTTTTATTAAACAAATTTAGGAATAGACTGATGTTAGTAAATAACATTTAATCTGTTAAAAATAATAAATTCTGCACAAAAAACTGAATTCAATAATATAAGTAAAAATGCATAAATACCAATGATAAAGCCACAGCTGAATTAAGAGGAACTCCAACAGTCAGATGGGCACACGCGTCTACTAACTATCTTCATCCTATTGTTGCATCTTGAAAACCTGTATCCCCCACACCTGATCTATCTACCTTTTGTTCATTTTCACTACAGATCTCAAAACACTTACCAACTGAGGTAAATATTGCTAGCTTCTTTTTATGGATGGAGAGCTGAAGCACCAAGAATATACATAATTTGCCAGAGGTTATCCAGCAAACCAGTGGCAGAAATGGAACATAACTCTAGTCTTGTGGGATCCAGCAGAGTGTTTTATTAACAAGTTTATACCATCTCCCTAAAACATGGACAAGAGATCTACATCCCAACATTCTTTACCAATAGGTGGGTTTAAGTGGGTTATACATCAAAAAAGGCGAAAACTAGTATTCAGTCCAACCTGTTTCTTATACTACCGTACCTGGAATGCTGACTAAACTAATTAGGAATACTAAAGAAAAAAAGGAGGCAAGCTGTTCAAAAAGGCTCATAAGAGCTTGTTAGGTAAGAGATAAGAAAGATTCTGTTCTGCTAACAATGCAACAGACAAAGAAAAATACTTGTACAAATTAGCTTAAAAACATCCTAGAACTGGCTCTGGTCTATTTCAGAAGATAAAATAGGATTTTAGAAAAGGAAATTTTACAAGCAAACTAAGATTTTTTTTCTCTCTTTTTTATGATTTAACTGAACTACGCATCTTAACTACCCATCCTACCAATCATCATCATGACTCATTTGATTTTTACATTTTAGAGGGGGAAAAAAAAAAGGCTTCAGAAAGTACTCCTAATTCATATAGTTACTAGGATGGAACTGAATAAGACCATAAGCACATGGAAGGGATTAAAACTGGAATAAAAGGAATTGTTTTAGCATAATAAATGTAAGCATAATAAAGGAAAGAAAAAAAGAGAATGGGATGAAATTAAGAATAGAGAAATTGTGGATTAGTGAGATATACTAGTCTGTGAAAGCCCCATTACCTAGCACATTTAGCACCAGCTTAGACAAAATACTAAAATGCACAGGTAGAATCTCAGAGGTTTTCCTTTATGGCCTTTTTCTTCTCCACACTGCCATGGTTTTAACCTTGAGCTACTGAGCTGCAATTTGAGAATGCAGGTAATGCTTTGTTTTGGGTTTTTTCCTTCTTAAACTTTAATTCATTGTTCTGTAATTACAAGTAAGGAGGAGAATGGCTGGTAAAACAGCTACTAATACACTCATCAATAACTCCAACAATAGTTTCATACACCTTCATTATCACCAGCAGGTGATAAAAGATCAATGATAAAGAATGAGAAAGTAGATTAGTTACAATTCTAATGAGAAACGGGTAGGGAGAGAGAATCAAATTATAACCTTTAGAGAAATTAACATGAGCCATGGCCCCATCTCTGGATAAATTGAGCATCCAATCATGGTTCTTTTTTTCCAAAAACGTCGTAGTACCTTACTAAGTGATGTTTACACTGTAATCAGGAGAGGTAACAGTAAGCTCCCCCGCCCTAACTCATGGTGCTTCACCTAAAGTGCAATGAGTTAGGAACAGGGGCAGGCAATTATTTGTGGGCCACATAGGCAGTTCTAGGGAACTGTAGCAATCCACTCATTCCCCACTCCAGCTCAGACTGGGTAAACCCCAGCCTGCAGCATGCTCTCCCTTCCTCAAACCACTCTTCCCTCCCTGCAGACAGCACCAGAGGCAAAGCTGGGCTGCATCAGCTCAGCCCTGATTGTGTGCAGGGACTGACAGAAGTTTGCTAAGACACTCCACTTTGGAGCACCTTCATCTGATCCCTCATTACATAAGGGTTAATTTGTCGCACAATTGGCCACTTTTAAAGCGCTCTGCAGCTGTGCACCTTTTGTCACGGGACAGCTGGAGAGCACTGTCAGAGGGATGATCTAATGACAAATGTCACTTCTGTCAGCGTTCCTTATCTGAGATAATTTAGGTACCCACAACAATGAAGCCTCAGCAGCATGGTTTCCAGCACAGCTGATATAAGGACATGCAGGATCTTAAATATGTACCTGGGTGGCTAACCCACACTGATGCTTATGTTATTGCAGCTGCATTGCTATTAGCACCTGAGCTAGCTGGATTAATTCTCATACCTCAAGACTGTAGTGTAAACATATTCTGAATGATATATGATGCCAAACTGAGATGGATTAAGCATGGCAAAAGGTAATGATTCTGAATCAGGTCAGGCTTACTAGGAAGATATCCCAAGGTTCTCTTATCGAACAAGCTCAAAATCATAGTCTCAACATAATGATAACAATACTTTCATCACTGCTGACCGAAGGTGAAAACTTAGTAAGAAAAGGAGATTGTGCTATAGATACTTTTAGAATAAGCCTTCAATTACATAATGAAGAAAGAGAGAGAACAGACACAGTATCATAAACTATAGTAAATGTGTGTTTTTGAGATGTCTTATCTCTTAAAAATGGACTCCAGGGCAGGACTCAGCTCCCAAACCACTTCCAGACTCAAGATGCCATAAGGGATGTTTAATAGTCAAAAGAGTGAGATGGATGGGGGGTAAGATTTGGCTAATATCTTCCATAAAAACAAACTGTCTACTGCTATCATTGTGATGATGTTATATCTCTACCCTATCCTGAAACCTTCAATAAGTATTCAGTTAGATAAGAAAGGGCTGCCTCCACATAACACCACTGGCATCTTCTCTATCCACAGAGGCAGTACAGATGATATGATCATGAACCTAAGCCATGTTGACTTAGATCAAAGTACAGTCTGGAATATGAGCAATACAATAAGCACTCCTTGGCATTTTCAAGTTTGGAAACTTTAACGAAGTCTAACTTCCAGTCATGCACTGGACCCAAATGTCATCCTCATTTTTAAACACTACTGCAAGGGCTTAACTTGTTTTACTTCTTCATTCTTTAAAACATACTATAGAATATACTTCACCATACTTCATTTTTAAAAGGATATCTAATCACAAATTATTCCTCTATACAGTTGCCACAAGAATGCCCATACAAGGTCTGTGGACAATAAGTTAAAACACTGCTATACTGAAACATTCACTATGGCAAGTCAAACAGACCTTTTTCCCCATCCATATCAAATAAAAATTTAGATTATTTTTATTTCCTGGCATTTGAATTTTATATTACAGCTATTTAATAAACTGAAAAAAATAAGCGTTCTGTCATTTACACACTGACAATAATTCAGATTGGCACAGCACTAACTTCTAACAGTTCCAGGATGGATTGCAAGTATAGCATGATTTTTCATGCAACTCAAAATGCTCATTCTTTAATCTCTTCCCTTCTCCTCCCCCTCCCCCTGAATATTTTACTTTGAAGAATTTATTGATTTAGCAGAATTTGAAAGCAGAAGAATTAAAAAAGTGATAAAGGGGGTGCAGAAATTAGCAGAGGTGGCACTACCTGAAAGCTCATCAGAAAGGGGAGTGAGAACAATATCAGGCAAGAAGGGTTTGGAAGTATGGATCAGAACAGGAGCACTTTTAGCACTGCGTATATAGGCCGATGGCAGAGCACATTCACCAATGGATCGGCTTCTCATGGCTTTAAAAAAGGAAAAGAAAGAAGTGGGGAAGGAAAAAAGAAGAGTGACTATAATGAAAGGCTTGTGTCACAGAAAAAGCAGCAACAGAGAAAACAAAGATAAAAAGGAAGAAAATTTTAAATTAAAACATTTCAGCACGGCAGATATTGGCAGAGCTGTAAGAAAGAAAAAAAATCAGTGGACACATAAAACATTTTGAGTTTTTAACTGTTTATGTAAAGCAGCAATATTATGACTGTTACAATGATTTTCCATCTAAAACTGAGAAGTGAATTAAATAGCACTTTTTTCCGCTGCATCAGGGGTTGGAAAAAAAAATATCAACAAATTCAAACCTATCCCGAAAGCACTCAGAATTTGTGCAATTATAATCCAGAAAGCAATTTACACTTTATTTGCCCTTTCTAGAGTTGCCTGTCTTGTTAAACATGAGTATCATGATTTTTATATAACCCAATAATCTTAAATTCAATTCAGGAATTTCCAAAACAACATTCTGAAAGACAACTGAATTTTTTGTCTACAGTAATTCATAGTACAAGGAATAGTTCCAAATAAAATTGAAGTTTGAGAAGCATTAAATTAACAACTGATTATTTGCAAAGAGAATTTGAATATAGTTCCTGAATATAGTTCCAGATTTTAATGAACAATTTCTTATCCTGATCCAGCATCCCAAAACTCACGTGAGCAGTCCCACTGATTTTATGCAAAAGCATATGGTTGTGAAACCAGGGTAGTATTTCCCATTTTTTCCTGGTAGTCTTAACTGACTCCTGGTATATAGCATGTTTATGCTCATTTTCTATGATATCAGCAAGAACAGATATTGCAACTCAATTCTGAGTATGATTAAAGCTCTTAAAAGATACAATTCACAGTTTTCAACTAGTTTCCTCTTTACATTTTAAATAGCAAGAAACTTAAGTAAATGACATAAAAACATTCACTGACATTTTCTTTTATGTGAATTTTGGTGCTTTAAAAAAAATAAAGATTATAGATATACTTAAAACCAGACTTTGTCTGATGTACACAATGTTTTGGAATATTATACTTAATAAAATTGAGTGCTCCTGATCTGCAAGGGAATCAGAAGTATGTGGATATGGTACAAGTGAAATTTGAGCACATCACACTTATAAACCCAAGTAAAAGGATGTTTCTAACACAGCAACATGCAGAAAAAATTGGTGATTTAATGTATACAAACTAGAAAATACAGATGACAAGTATAGTGGCAGTCCTAAAACCACCTAGGAACTCTGAACTGAAACAGTTTTCTATTAAAAATTGGTTTCTCCCTCATAAACTAACTAGAAGTTGCTTTACTCTGAAGTTTACATGTAACTTCACATGCAAGACTCCAACTGCCTCTTATTTTTAAGATCTATAAGTCATAGTCTATTATTTAAGTATATGGCATGATTTTCGCACATCTTAAATCAAAGGAACTAGAGTATTAGATGTTTTTTCCAAGCTAAAGAGAACATATCAAACTTCTTATATTAAACACCAAACCACATACATTTTAAATGGTAATTTTATCCAAGAGATCTAACCCTCTTTGATCTGAAATAGCAACTCAGACTGTTGACTAATCTAGCCCATTTGCAATGAAGAGAATGGAAATTTAAAAGTAAATTTTCTAAGATAAAAATGCAAACCACTAGTATATGAGGAGCTGTGAACTGCATTAACTAGTGCAGCTTAACTTTTAATTTAAATAAGATGTGCTATATTCCCAACAGCAGTCAAGTAGAGGAGAGCCAGGATTTGAGGTTTGTAAATGAACAAACGTTGGGTGACAGGACTTTTAAAATAAATAGCACCAGACTATAACAGGTTACAAGTGGGCAGAGACATGCTTAATATTTTTGAATATAGTAGGCAATTAAAAAAAAAAAAGTCTAAATTTAGTCTCCTTCCATATATTTTTTTAGAAGAGGAAGATACAAAAAAGAGGATATGCAATGCTTTGTGTTTTTATTGTATGCTGACTTGCTAACTACCATAATTACTCACATCCCATACACACTTTTCACCCCCCAAAATTAGGCCTCCAAAACTGGGTAGCATGAGCATTTATACCCATGCTCTAGGAGTGAGGTGTGTGGGGTGGGGCACAGGAGCACTTTAATTAGAGTGGCTCTGATGGGGGTGGGGTTGCTTTAACTAAAGCTCATCAAACAAACTTTACTTAAAGCCCCCCTGCTGCCACTTTTCAGCATGGGGATGCTGATACATGTGATGCTCGAGTCTGCTGGAGCGTGGTAATTACTGTAGCTCCAGCAGACTCAGTTAAACCAGTCTGCTCTGACACGCTGCGATTATAGTGCATCAGAGCAGCCTTGTTGCTTGTGTAAGCATGTCATGTTTTAAATGAGGAAGCTGATTTCTATATCAGGATGGAGGCATGAGGATGACTGAATGGCTGCCAGAGGCTGTGCTAGATTCCATGCTTCATAAAGGAAAGGTAGAGTCCACCCATCAGCCTCTCTTGCCCTCTGGCTGAAGCACCACAACTTCAAGTTTAACCCTGTCACAATCACTGCCCAATTAGATGATCAACCAAAAGCTGCTGTGATGATGCTGCAGCCAGAGGGTGTGAGGCTGATAAGTGGCCTCTGCCTTCCTGCAGCATATAGTTGGGAATGTTTAGCAATGGTGAGCCCAATATTCAGTCTGGGGAAGCCTGTACTGCAGTGGTTAGAATTCGGGGTGGGGGAATCATCATTCTACTTTCCCAAAATAAAGTAATATCTTATTTGGGAGAGCGTGATATGCAAGTAAATGTGTTATTTGGAGCCAGATTCTTGTACAAGATTTTATTACTGAGTTGTCACAGTAGAGATGCAAACTCTAGAACTCTTGGTTCAGTACCAATAATACCTTTTATTAGACCAACTAGAAATCACACAACTATTATATCTTTTTAAAAGATTTTTTTGTGATTTCTTAGTTGGTCTAATAAAAAGTATTATCTCTGAACCAAGAGTTTTAGAGTTTTGCATTTCTATTTGTCTCAGACCAACATGGCTACCAAATACATCCCTGATATCTCACATTATTCACTTTTGCTCCTCACTGATAACCAGACTACAGGATGGTAAATATCACGTTATGATACTTCTCTAGTACCAAAATGTGCAGTTTAGGCTAGGAGTAGTCTTGTATCTGAATTCAGTATAGAAGATTTTTCAACCCACAAGCATACAAAGTTTAGAGGCCCTTTTCCAAAAATACTTTACATAAGATCAGGCTTTAAAAATGTATATACTGCATATCAAAACCTGTTCTTGAGTCACATAAATATATACAAACTTGATGCACAACTAATGTGTGCTGGAATGAGGATGACTCAAAAAAACCCAACCTGCTCAAATGTACACAGAATATATAGATAGAAAGGGAGCCCCAGCTTTTTCTTACCATAATATAGTCGACATGCACTTCCCTCCTACTCAAACATAAGGAGTAAATTCCTCACAGTCAAAGGAAATGAACTGCATATTAAAGAGCATGCAACATCTAAGGACTGACTAAATTCCAGACTTAAATTCAGACCTACTTACAGAAAAAAAAACATTGAATTTAAGGGGAGGATCTGGCAACCAAATACTATGTAGGACAGATTTATTCTACACCTGGGTGCCAAATACTACCATTATCACAGTGTGTTATGTACATGTATTTAAAATAAATCAAACAAATACCTCTCTCAGTGCTTTGAGGTATTAACACACAGTCTTTTCATGATGATTACAGGGTTTAAAATAATGAGGCACGGGATTAAATATGGCAATAATCAGTGCCTGTCTTGGTTCTTTAGAAGAAAGGGAAAGGAAACCATGTTTTCTAATTAAATTAGCTGCTAAACCAAGGCATCACCAGCGAGAGGCTCTAAATTTAGCTTTGTATACTATGAATCAGTAACTTTCTGTATGCAAAACTGGATTAAGAAAGTTCAGTATCCTTCTCAATTTACTTCAGGTTAAGCAGTACAGTGCCAGCCCAATAAATATTTAGATAGTTTGCTTGAAATATAGTTAATATAAGAACTAAAATTAAAAACTTATCTGATTATGCATTCAAGTAAATTTTAAGTATACATGATAACACTTGTAGTTAGAAGGATACTACTTTTTTGATACTATACTTCACAAGAAATACAGTACTCATTCATCACTTAAAATGTCTGCAACCAATATGCAGACAAGGTTCTTTGGGTGAATCCGATAGCTTTTATTAGACCAACTTAAATAAATGGAAAAAAAAATTCTTAGCATGCTTTCGGGTTTAAAAACCCTTTGGCAGGCTGAGGAAGCATCTGCAGTTGGTGTGCTCTTCCTGTACAGAATGAATAATATAGAAGCCAGGGGCTGGTATGCATGCAAGAAAGACAGTCAGTGAAGATGTAAATTGAGGAGTCAGTGGGTGAGAGACAGCATTAGGGGGAGAAGAGGGATGAATGTAGCAGGTAAATAGTGGAGTAGAGTCAGATGTTAGGCAGGATATAATGTCTCATAAATCCAATGTCTATATTTAGTCCATGATTTGTTGTATCCAGGAGGTTGATGAATTGAAGTTCACAGGCTCATTTGTGAAAAGTGTTTTGTAAATTCCCTTTGAGTATTAGAACAGAGAGATTGGAGAGAGAGTGGTTTTCTTGTGAGAAATGTCCCTCCACAGGTAACTGGGTATTCTTGTCTTTAATATATTTCCGGTGTGTGTGTTCATACTGGTGCGCAGTTGTTGTTTGGTCTCTCTTACGTATTTTCCATCAGGGCATTTGGTGCATTGGATGAGATATATTATATTTCTGGAGGTGCAGCTAACATCCAGGAATGCTGATGGTTCTGTTGTGGGGTGTAGTAATTGTGCAGGTGGTGGAGATGTGTTAGCAGGTTTTGCATTTCTTGTCCTGGCATGGTTTGGATCCATTCAGTGTGTTCTGGGCTGTAGGAAGCTTACTTCTGGTGATGAGGTTAGCGAGGTTCTTGTTTGAAGGCTAGGGTGGGTGGCTCTGGGAAGATCTCTTAAAGAACTGGGTTTGCTTCTAGTATGGGTTGTAATTGTTTGAGGATTTTCTGTATGGGTTTGAGGGAGGGGTGATATGTCATAACCAGCAGTGAGAGATTCATGGGGGGTTTTCTTTTGTACTGCAGCAATTCTTCACATGGTATCTCCAGGTGGCTCTTTCAAACATCTTCACTGACTGTCTTTCTTGCAGGCACACCAGCCTCTGGCTTCTTTACTATTCATTCCATCCGGGAAGAGTGCACGTAAACTGCAGATGCTTCCTCAGCCTGATGAAGGGTTTTTAAACCCAAAAGCTTGCTAAGAATTTTTTTTCCAACTATTTAAGTTGGTCTAATAAAAGATATCAGATTCACCCAAAGAACCTTGTCTGCATATATCCTTAGACCAACACAGGTACAACCTACACTCCTGCAACCAATATGGACAGTTATTTGTACTGGGCAAAAAGTGTTAGCCATTTGCAGCACACCTAGATCTCAAAAGATAAAGGCATCGTTTATGCCCTGCTAAGAATGCTGGCTTTTTTAGGCAGACTTGGATGATTTTCAGTTTTACTACTAATCCCATCTGTAAAAACTGACACCTAGCAGTTTCTCTGATAAGATCAGTTACTCAGTTTCATTTTGCAAACCACCTTGTACAGTAGGCATGTAGCCCTTAACCCCATAAGCCTCATGTGTGTGGAGATTTACTGAGAAAAACTTTCTTTAAAAAAATAAATAAATAAAAGGATATGGGAGACAGTTTTTGGTAACTAATTCATGCCTTTCTACCTTACTGTAATATTAGTGTTGGTATGATTGGGTACAGAAAATATATTTCCATGCAAGTATGAAAGGGGTCTTAGATATTAACTGTTTATGTTAATGCAGAAATAGACTATAAAGATATGATTGCTTTGAGGACAAAAGCAAAAGCAATATAAGCTATAGTATGAGAAGCTTAAAGTTAGATTAATTTGATGCTGACTATGTAAAATGGATTGCTTGATCAGGATAAATGTCAGTGATTTAGGATCCAAACCATGCAAATATCCAACCTTTAAAAGGAAACTAACATACTAACATGAATCCATTAAAAACTTAGCCAAACTGCAGTAGCATCTGACAAAATATCTGAAATGCATACTTTCAAGAAACCAAAACAGAAATTTTATCTGGCATTGTGTTCTGAAAGTGTTGAAGATTTAACAGAAAACTGTTTTAAGAGCCATCATCAGCTAAATACAGATAAATTAATGTATAATTGAACCATGAAGACTACTTAATCAAATTAGAAGATGTCAGAGCTTGCTCTGCATAAACCACTGGAAGTGCAATTTTGTGTCTGAACGCATGAGAAAGCCAGACATTTAAAGTTGTTCCTTTTAAATTCTGTGGGGCCCATGGTTGTTGTCCTATATGCCTGAACTGCCCTGGTACAATGTGTCCCTAGTCCTGGTGGAGGTCTACAGTTTTCTAGTAATATTGCAAAGTATTTTGAAGGGAAAAGAAAATCTTAATTAATTAAACCCTGTGACTTAAAAATTTAAATTGGCTCTAAAATTTTGGGGAAAGGGAAGAACAATTATAGACTCAGTTGCTGACCTGTATTCCCTGTTATCATAAACTGTATCAGAGTGTACCTGCTCTTAGGAAGCATTAGTAAAAAGACAGCACTTGCTGAATGAGATCACCTACCATTATGAAGATGTTGACACAGCAATATAATTTTTTAAAAAATATTTTATTTTTTTTAAATAAGAAATTTAAATCAATGTAATTTTCCTTCATGCAGTAGACAACACAGATCATCTTTGGAGATGGCTTGGTATATAAGCATTTCATCCCCTTCACATTAGAGTTTCCTAAGCAGGTCATACAAATGCATATGAGTCTGAGTAATTCACCAGAAACACGGACCATCACTACTCATTTTTAAACAGGAAAAAATATCTGCAAGTAGTGAAGACAAGAAATTGATCTGTATAAATTTAGATCTGTACACATGTGTACGTATCCATGGATCCTGGCGGTTTTAAGATATATCAAAGACAAAACATTTTCATAACTAGCTGATTCACATACTTTACACACTTTTCATTACAGTACAGTAGTTTGGAAATCCCTTGCATAATTTAAACAAAAAAAAAAAGGATGAAGACACCTTTGTTAGAGGGCTTTATATTAACTAACTACGCATAATGTTATTTAGCTAGAAAGCAAGAAAGGACTAAAACAATGTATGTTTAGATCTTTCTATAAATAAGGGTAATTTGTACCTAAACAATGGGACTTATTGCAAAGAAGCATCAACACTGCTTAAAATTATCTGCACTTGCCAAAAATCTAAATTTAGAAACCAAATGCTTTTCACTTGCCCACAAAATGCTATAAAAAGACAGTACAACATATTCAAATACACTACAAATGAATGCACATAGAAAGAAAAGCTGTCCAAGTAGATGCAAAAAATGTTCAGTTATGAATGTTTCCTCTCCCCTCTCAACACATCCCTCAGTTTTTACAGATACATACCAACTGTTTTTTGCCGTACTATGCTTCTTGCCTTTTCTGTTCCTGGAGATCCAGTAGTTGTAGCACTGCGCTGTCTCATTGGAGCCTGTCCAGGCTGATCACGGCTCCAGCCTCTAGAAAATGACTTATCAACAGATGATTTTTGGAACTCATGCCCAACTCCTGTAAAAATATAATTGTGAATTTATTCATTTAATCCTATGAGATGCTCATGTACTAGATATTTGAAGTAGTCACCTTTTCAAATATTTTCCACTCCATTGTCAATGTATCAGCCTTGCAATGTTAAGCATGTGACTATAGAAGCTGTATAGTATACTAGCATTAAAAAAAAAAAAATCAACATTGAACTCTTATCAACCAACATCAATTGAGGGACATCCATTTTGGTTCAAAGCCTCTAGTACTATTACTGTTGTAGTTCCTTTCTGACTTCTTCAGTTCATAGATTCAAGAGAAATAAGATTAGAGAGGATACATATAGATAAAATAAATACTGTAGATATCTATCCTTTTTTCCAAGAATATTTCCATTATTTTGCCACTAGACAAGACATATAAAGCCAATTTATGAACCATGTGTTTTAATTAATTAGATGCTATGAAGATTTAGGAATCATAAGTGATAAAAATATCAAAACATTTTAACATAAGAAAAAAATAAAATGGCTTAATGGAAAATGCATTTGTAAGATCCATATGAAACTGATCACAATATGAAATATTATTTCAATGATCTTAAAAAGAGAGAGAAATTCTCAATGGAAGTTTTGCAAATGCTCCCCAAAAGTAATACTTATAGGATGCTGACTAAAGTAGGTGCTGGAACTATTTGAATAAACAACATGTACTTTAAGAAACAAGTAAGGAACACCAATAAAATATGTTTTAACAGAACACTGATCCACAGTGTAAGCAATATGTGCCTAATATGCCATCACTTGAATGCATTTTCTTGGTCTGAATGTTGTGTTTTGGTCTTCCATACATAAGGATGTTTGGGGTTGGGTTTTTTTAAATAAAATGTTCTCTTTTTCATGCTTCAGAATATGTGCTTAAGCAAGTATTCTGTTAACTATACCCATTTTTATCTAAGCACAGACTTTCATTCACTGTTGACATGCAGGAATACATTTATGACTGTTTTTCACTCTCTGATTAACAGGGACCTGGTTTCCATTTCCCTTTCCCATGGAAAAAACATGGCAAAAGGTAGATTTTCTTCTTTAAAGGAAAAAAATGTGGGAAACTGTGGGTTTCCCTTTGCAGGCTGGAAGAGTTCCAGGCTGCAATGGGTTGCTTGGGGCTGGGGGAGTGGGATGCAGGGGGTAGGGGGCGCCACATGCACGTGTGCACACACATACACATGGCAGCCAGGCAGTGTAATGGAGAGCAGCTCCCTCCTGGTAAATCTATGGGGTGAGAAGGGGCATAGATAATGGCAAGGGTTCGGGGGCATAGGCAATGCATCAGGAGGGTGGGGCACTGGGCTGTACCCTGGCCAGACCATGCCCCCTGCCCACTCAGTTGCAGTGAGGGACACAACTCCCTGTCACTGCTGCACCTCACCTTGGTGGCCATGGCGGCATGGTACGCCTTCCCCCACTGGGTCCTGCCCACTGGGACACAGAGGCGGCACCAGCCCAAAGCTCAGAAATCTCAGGGGGTAGGTGCCTCCCCCTCGTTGCCTGATGTGCCGCCTATGCCCACCCCCTCCGAGTGGGTACTGGGAGACAGAATCCTAGGAGCCTGTTGGCAGACGCTGGACACTTTCAGTTGAGTGTTTAGTTACAATTAGCCCCAAGCTGGGGCAGGTTTAGTTGCCTGAGCTGGCCTGAAGTTGAGGGACCGACCACGGGGAAGATTTTGCTGGCTGCGAAAACTGGACCCGTCGAGGCGGGGGGGGAGGATGAGGCAAGATCGTCCAGGGGAAGACCTGCGGGGTACAGCATTTGCCCAGGCCATGGATGTGGTAAGGGTGGGGTAAAGAGGAGGTTGGAGCCCCACGAAGAAAGACCAGGGTCGAGACCCCTTCGGCTTAGGGCCACCTGCAGGGAACTGCCTCCCCAATAATGAACAAAGACATGGTGGGCGAGTAGGAGCAGCACCCGAACCATCTAGGTGGCACTAGAGCCCGATCTCACCCTGACATCACTTGGGGGCAAGGCACCTATCAAGAAGGGGCTGAAGCCCTACAACACCTACCAGTGACAGATTGGTGTTGGCCGATATGCCTCCTTAAACATCAGCTATCGGTATCAGTCCCCAAAATCTCTATCAGTGAACCCCTACTATTCGATCAATCAATCGATCTCTCTACAATGGTGTTTCATTTTAATCATTGGAAAATGCCTGTGGGGGGGGGGGGGGGGGAAGTAGTCAGGATTTCGGAGAGTAGGATTTGTGTTTTTTAAACATCAGAGAATTTTGGGAGGTTTTTAAACAGAAGAAACCAGGATCCCTGCTGATTAATGGGGCCTGAGAAGTCTGTAAAAGACAGACAAGGTAAGCTCTGGAGTAATTTTAATGGACAAGTTTAAGAAAATATGTTGCGTTTCTCCCATCTACATGATATAGAACAACAATGAAAACAACATATTCCTTGCACCTCTGAAGGAGTCTAATTCTCAGAAGCAGAATTTGGAGGTGGAAAAAATGTGTTTAATAATAAAGGGAAACAGGAACATGCATCTCTACCCTCCCAAAGGGAAGCAAATATCAGAATACATAATTTCTCATTAATATCCAGAGTTTTTATAAACAAGCATCTTCCTCTTTCTTTTGAACAATCATATCAATCAGAATTGTAAGATAGCAAGCAGAGTAGGAAAAAACATGATTTTTGAATGCTCATTACAGATTTCTATCTATAGTACCAACCTGTAATAAAGCTGTTCATCATCAGATCTCAAACCATTTTGCAAAAGTGATCAATATCATTATCCCAGTCTTAAGGATATGGAAATTGACACACAGAAGTGATTGGACAGAATCCACACTCATTAGGTCAATTGCTGCGCTAGGAAGGGAACACAGACTTCCCCAGTTTCAGTCCAGTGTTCCATCCATAAGGCCATGTTGCCTCCTCAAATGTATACAGGACTGTGTGCTCATAATGTCCCACCTTCCCAGCTTGAATTAAAATCAGTCAAACAATAAGTTTTTTCTTACCTTTGCCTTTGTGCTTTTTCTGTTTCTGTTCACTTAATTTATCCAATGGTAAGTCACTGAGGTCCAGGCTATACAAGTTTCTAGCTAATACTTTAGTTAGTGTCTCCATAGTCAGTGACCACTCAGTGGCAAGCTCTTCCCAGTATGTCAGAGATGACATTACTGACAACAAGTCATCCCAAAGTTCTCGGGAGATGTACACATTTAGATTTGCTTTGATCCAGGCTACTATAAGTGTCTAAAAGAATAAATAATTAAAGTGATAATAGTTGGCTTCCCAACATAAGGCAAAAGAAAAGCATTCAAACATTATGGTTTTAAAGCAGAAATAACCTCTCTATTATCAGTCACAGGTATTTCTATGCAGTGCTAATAATGCCCCTCCTTGCAACAGTCATGCACAAATCTTACGTGGATTCTCATGTGATTAAGCATTTGTTTACAATGTTTTTATTCCCATTCATAGCTGTGCAGTATGTTAAATTATTTAGCTGTAGAAACAGACTGGTATGATTAATAAAAGGCAGGGTATATTTGTACCTTACAGACTAACTGAAGTAGAGCTCTCGCTCTCTCTCCAGCTTTCATGGGTCAGAGCTCAATTCATCAGACAGCATCTTATGAAATAAGCTCTAGCCCAAAAAAGCTTGTGTTACATATCTACTTTAGTCAGTCTGCAATGTGCATACCTACCCTGCCTTCTACTTGATTTCAAACTAACATGGTTAACTACATCTATGATTCATAACAGACATTCATAACTTACATGTAATATTAAACAGGTTTATATGACCATTTTAGTGTAGTTTGGACTTCCTTCATAGTTTATTTCTTCTCTTTTTAAAAGTAGTGAGATATTCCCCAAACTCCATGCACAGAGAAGACTTTGTAACAGCAATATGTGACACCAACTTTGAATGACTCTACTACTGGCTCTACTCCTTAGAACAGGGTTTGGGCAACGTTTTGCTGTCATGGGTCTTTGCTTCCAACTCAGCCCTTTGCTCTAGGCCTCAAATCTCCACTCCCCAAGAGCACCCAAGTTGTCTGCACTTACACTTGCTGCTGATCCCCAAACCCATGGGCAATGGAGAGGCACAAGTTCTGCAGCAAGGGTAGACACAGACATAACACAACAGCAGGGAGGGCTGCAGAGAAGGTTGCTGCAGAGCAGATGGGCAGCACAGTGCAGCTGTGTGCATCTGACCTCTGTGCTGTCCCATGCAGGACTGAACTCTTGTGGGCCATTTCTCGCCCATATGCCATAGGGTGCTGACACCCGATTTAGAACCATGAATTTTCTGCCCAGGTAGAAGCCTAATTTAGGAAGGATTAGCTTTTTCAAGCTGGAAACAGAGAGAACACTGAGGAAAAAGTTAGCTGCTCTGAAGCTCTGTGAGATGATCATGACCACAGGGAAGGGAGAGGGCAAAAGAGAAAGTGGCAGAAGAAATTCTGTCTACCTGGAAATCCTAACAAAGCATTGCAGATGGATTGAGAGCTGACGTACAGGGTGAATTTTAGGACTTTTGCTTCCCCTCCCCCATAATCTGTCACTTGAATTTTTTAAAATAGCAATATGACTGTGGGTAAGAAATGTCTTTGCTAAGGCTTATTCTTTGCTTTCCTACCATGCTGTGCCCAAAGGAATTAAAACTGCAAGCAAAGAGTGCCTACAGCAATAAAACTCCAGAAAAGCATTCATATGCCATCTGGAGGTAGCAGGTGCCTGGAGGTCTGTGATGAGGCCTGAGATGGCTGGGCTGCAGAGTCAAACAACATGTGTCATACAAGGATACTAAGACAGAAGTGTGCCTTGAAGATCCAAAGCTAGACACACAGTACAAAGCTGCTTAGAAGCATTCAGGGTCCAACAACTGAGCCACTTGCAACAAAATGGTGATTGTACAAGGGAAGACTTGACCAGACCATACCAACTCTTTATTGAATTGTAACTCTGAGCTCCTAAATAATTTTAGCCTGTTGTCATACGCGAGTCTAGTCCATAAAACATACTTAAAATTAATCTGATATTGGCCTGATTTAAAGAACAGTATTAATACTCTACTTTCCCACAAAAAAAAAAAAAGACTAGTTTTCTCACAAGGAAAAGTTATAAGCATCTAGCAACAGACGTCTCTAACGGGTCAGCAAACTGACTTTCCTTGTAAAGAAAAATGATTGATCTCTCCTTTACTGTTTATAATCCACCATTTTCCAGAGTACAATTAATAGTCTTCATTTGGAATCCTGGTACAATCTAGGCCACGTATGGCAGACTTAGCTGATAAATAATTCGCCAAAATGCCCACTGGTTGGCTAATCCTGCAAGATGGCAGCAGAAACCTTGCTCTGCTACAAGGGAAGGGTTCTATCACCACAGGGGAGCTTTAAGCATGGAGTTAAAACTCTGTAGTGTGCAAAAGTCTGCTTAATTTACAGCAGGACTGGGTAGAGAGTACTTAAGTAATTTAAGAAGCTGCCAGACCAAATGCAGAGAGGTACTTGATTAACTGCTTGTGGCAGGACACTGAATTACAATTTAACTAGCCTTAATTAGATACTAACAGTGTCACACACTGAGGCTCAGTGTTCTAAGAGGAAGTAGCAGGAGTGCTTAATTCATTTTCATAAGAACATATAGGGTTTGCCAATAATATTACACAATTTAAATTGCTGCCTGGGTTACCCACTGGTGTCTTGAAGCAGCCTGCATTGTACTCCATGTTCTAAACCAGAGGTTCCCAACCACTGGGAAGGGTTGGTTGCCAGGTTGTGATATGAGCCCCCTGCTCGGACCCCGTCTGTCCGCCTGGGCGAGTGGCTTCTGCTGCCAGAAGTCGCATGTGGGGTTAAAGTAGGGAGACGGGGCAGCTCTGGGAGGGAGGCAGCTGGCTCTGCACCCCATCCTGCTCCCATGCTGGTCCACAGTATAAAAAGGGTTGGGAACCTTTGCCTCCATCTTTTTGAGCAGAGACCAGGGCATCCCCTCACTGGGATCCCCGACAGACCCAGGGGAGGCGCTGCCAGGACCAGGGTCAGTGAGGACCTAGTTAGGGAACTTCTGGTGGGTCTAGATGTGTTCAAATCAGCAGGTCCTGATGATCTCCACCCCAGAGTGCCGAGGGAATTAGCAGAGGTCATTGCGGGATCCCTGACATGGCTTTACGAGCACTTGTGGTGCTCTGGCGAGGTGCCAGAGGACTGGAAAAGGGCCAATGTGGTTCCCATTTTCAAGAAAGGGAGGAAGGCGGACCCAGGAAACTACAAGCCTGTTAATCTTACCTCGGTTCTAGGGAAGCTCTTTGAGAAAATTATCCAGGAGCGCATCTGCAAGGGGCCAGCAGGGGAGATCATGCTTATGGGCAACCAACATGGGTTTATTTGAGGCAGGTCCTGTCAGACCAATGGGGTGGCCTTCTATGACCGAGTCACAAAATCCTTGGATGCAGGTGTCGCAGTGGACGTAGTCTTTCTAGACTTTAGGAAGGCCTTTGATACCGTCTCTCACCCCATTCTCATTAAGAAATTAGGCGACTGTGGCGTCGATGCCCACATGGTCAGATGGGTTGCAAATTGGCTGGAGGGCTGCACCCAGACAGTGGTGGTGGACAGGTCTTTTTTGACCTGGAGGGATGTGGGCAGTGGGGTCCCCCAGGGCTCAGTCCTCGGGCCTGCACTGTTCAACATCTTCATCAGCGACTTGGACAAGGGGGTGAAAAGCACCTTGTTCAAATTCCTGGGTGACACTAAGATGTGGGGAGAAGTGGGCACGCTGGAGGAGAGGGACAGGTTGCAACTAGATCTAGACAGGTTACAGGGTTGTTTGACCCCAGCATTCTTTCCTGCCCAGGGCAGGGGGTCGGACTTGATGATCTGCTCAGGTCCCTTCCGGCCCTACCTACTATGAAACTATGAAACCACTGTTCTGAACAATACAGAAAAGCTGCAGTGATATCTATTCCATGGAGTGAAGATGTAGGAGCAAATACAGAGTAAGCACAACTTCAGTGTCTAAAATGATCTCATCAGTGAAGTTATAAAAGGGCTAGAGAACAGGTATGTTTTAGCTAAATGAGGAGAGTAATTTAGCAAGCTAACTTATTCTTCAGGGCATAGCTACCAACAGTGTTACCCAAGATCTCTTTCTGTTATACATATTTAACTCAAGTCTAAATGCAATAATAGCAAATCCGAGTGACTGACAAAAATAGTTGTCAGCCTGCTACTACATAGAAATAGTCATATTAGATATCACAGGTCCTTTAATCTGCAACATTCTCAATACTGTAATTTAGGTAATCGATTACTTCTCAAATCTGGTCTTGGATGGCAAATGGGTAAACTAGTTCTGTTATATCTAGTTTTTTTGATCTAGTTAAATTCATATCAAATTTGTATTTAATTGCCTGGAAAAGAGGTCCTGCGAGTCTTCCTGCTAAAGTAGAATTCTTTCTTCCGTAGTATTGCAGGAAAGTTGGGGGTGGTATTTTCAGCACAGATTCTGTGACCCGGAGCAGCACAAGCAGCATCTGTTCCCTGTAAAAAATATCAGAGTTACTTTTTGGTATATATTTAAACTAGGTTCCTTATTATAGAAGACAGTTCACATTGTTTCTTTCTGACAATACTTTTTTTTTTTTTTTTTTTTTTTAACATCGAGGATAAGAGTCCAAAAAAGCTTTACATGTTGTATTTTAAGAAGTCTACTATTCTTGTCTCATATTTTCTGAAGTCTGTTTCCTCTAGTTGCCTTTCAAGTGTGCTAAGCCTTATCACCTGCTCCCGAAGGCCTTAAATGTCAAAGTTTTACCATATTTACTCAAATCCAAAATGAGGTTATTCCCCCCCACCCAATCACTGTGAGGAAAAAAAAATCATCTTAAGAGTGCCAGCCTGGAGCTGTGCTGCTGTTTGTCCCGGGCTAAGGTAGCTCATGAAGCATGAGATGATGGGGTGCATAGTGGGGGAACTGCAGGGAAGACTCACAGTACATGGCTGGGAGGAGCATTAGGGAGACAAGGGGAAGGGGAGGCAGGCAACAAGGGAGTAGGCACAGACATTGGGGGGGGGGACAAAGCGGGGGGGGGGGGGGTGGGGGGAGAGATGAGGGGACAGGAGACAAATGACAGGCCATAACAGGATAGGCCGGGGGTGGGGGGAACGACACGACACAGTTAGAGGAGGCCAGCAGAAGGAATCTGGCCTCTAGCTCAGGGATGGGCAAAATGCGGCCCAGGGGCCAGATGCAGCCCGCCAGGCCATTCTATCTGGCCTATGGGGCCCCTAAAAATTTTAGAAAATTAATATTTATCTGCCTCTAGCTGCCTATCATGTGGCCCTCGATGACTTGCCAGAACTCAGTAAGCGGTCCTCCACCCAAAATAATTGCCCGCCCCTGCTCTAGCTTCTGCTTTGGGGAATGAATTTAAGACAGCCCCCCAATACGTAGATGCAATACATGGAAAAATCAGAACATATTTATAATTTTCCAAGCACAGAATCTAATTACTTGGTGGTGGGGCTATCTCTAATTCGAGGTGGTCTTAGATTCAAGTAAATATAGTAATTAGATGAATATTTCTAACCTTTGCATGGACTACATTTTTGCACCAAAACAGTGTTTGGCATCACGATAATGAATAAATATGTTCTATCACTTTTAAAGAGTGGCTTATCTGTAGTCAGAGTTCAGTAGCACTAGCTAAGAATTTGTTTTAAAATGTTACACAGTGATGAAAACTTACAATTCATTATCAATAAATAACTGATTATCTATTGATAACTAACTGTATTGATAAATCTCTAATTTTACTCCCACATTTGCACTAGGAAGCTATGACAACCACAGATTTCACTTGTGAAGTACTATTATTAGCTTTACTTACCAAGAACTCTGGAGACATTGGCAAGCAACCAAACACAACTCAAACAATGAAAGAAATTAGACATGTGAACATAGTTGCACATTCTGATTAATATCACTCCAGTCCCACCCAAATGGGGATACCAGAAAAGGATCTGTGCATTGTTCTCTCATCATAGCTGCTGCAGGCAAACAGTCTGAATGGCAGACACTTTTGGAAATTCCATTTATCAAATGCTAGAACAATTGGACAAGACCTGTTGGGGCACCAACAATGGAGCAGAAGAGAACTGAAGAAGTTCAAGCACCTCCTCCCCAAAAATAAGCTGCAGTGGGTCATAGGTAACAGCAAACCCCAAACGCTCCTGGTGGAGGGGGAGGAGGGGGGAGAAATCATCATCATAAAACAGCAAGATTAGTAGTAGACTAGGTATCCAAACCCAACTGTAACTCCTCCACAAGTGGTGAAGCTGGCTTCCCCAGCTATTGCAACTCAGCTCTTGTCCTCTGCCAGGAAGTACCAAGTCTAGCTGCTAGCAGATTTGAGGCCAGAGAATGGGATGTCAAGACATATGGTCTCTATCTTACCAAATGCAGATCAGATCAGAGAATGTCATGGTCTTCATAGAGAATCCATTTGGAGCCTCAAAGGCAACACACTGATAACATTTTTTATATCCCTACAGGTCTTGAGTGAGCAATCAGAGCAGGTGTCTGCCTTCAGTCATTTCAGTACCTCTGGAGGAGGATCCTAGCAGCTGCTTGTTTCTGCTTCTCAAATCTAACCAATACCTCTCCCAATAAATTTTCATACAGAGGGCTTCCCTGCTCCTTCCACTAGCCACTCATCTTCCAGCTAGGCTGCTGCTGTCCATGGGGACTTGTCATAATAATTAGGCTTATCTGAATGGTCTTTCAGGGGGACTCCAAGAGCTCGTCACCTCCAACAATGACTCATAACCCTGACATGTTTGGAGAATTCCCACTAAAATTATTTTATTTTTAATAAGTCCATTTTTGGTTTGCTTATTAAATTTTTAAGATTAAAATATGAGGTTTTTACCAAGTTTTCTTGTCCATTGTTACTTGCACCACCATGTGACGGTAGATATTAAGAATGCGTTTACACATATCAGTGTGCTCATCCAGAAGATTTTTCATTTCATTTGCAGGTTCAAGAAAGAATATATTTGAAGAGTTGATTATAAAAACCTAAAAAAAGAAGAGAGAAATTAATTAGTTTAAAGCTAGCTAATGTTTTCAGCAATCTGGTCAGGAATTCTGAAAGAAAACAAGAGATTTAAATCAGCATAGAAACATTAACTTATCACACAGCCTTCTTTAAAGACGCATTTGTACTAGTTTCTTCTCTCATATATTTCATAGACATTAGGGCTGGAAGGGACCTCAGAAGATCATTGAGTCCAGCCCCCTGCCCAAAGGGCAGGAAGTCAGCTGGGGTCATAGGATCCCAGCAAGATAAGCATCCAGTTTGCTCTTCAAGGTGTTCAATGTAGGTGCTTGAACCACCTCCGGTGGCAGGCTGTTCCAGACCTTGGGGGCTCGGACAGTAAAGAAATTCTTCCTTATGTCTAGCCTGAAACAGTCTTGTAGTAGTTTATGACCATTCGACCTAGTCGTCATCCCTTGGGGTGCTCTGGTGAACAAACGTTCCCCCAGATACTGGTGGTCACCCCTGATAAACTTATAGGTGGCCATCAGATCACCCCTGAGCCTGCGCTTTTCCAGGCTAAAGAGCCCCAGGGCTCTCAGCCTGTCATCGTAGAGTCTGCTTCCCTGACCTCTGATCATGCGCGTGGCTCTTCTCTGGACTCTCTCAAGCTTCTCCACATCCTTTTTGAATTGTGGAGCCCAAAACGGGACGCAATACTCCAGCTGCGGCCTCACTAAGGCCGAGTACAGGGGGAGAATGACGTCCCGGGATTTGCTTGAGAAGCATCTATGGATGCAAGCCAGTGTTTTGGTC